TTTTGGTCTCTTCATTTTTGGGGGGGGGGGGTGTAACTTTATAGTAGCATCGAGTGGATGTGATCACTCTAACCAAATATTTACATTACCTTCCCTCCTGCTCAACTTCACCTTAGCAGTCTATCGAAACAAAGCTTTCTGCTTTTCTTTTGATGCCAGAGACTTTTTGGTGTGCTTGTGTCATCTCCACTTTGACCAAAGACGACTACCACCACCCCTCCCATTCTCCTCCCTGCATATTTCGGTGTTGTGTTTTTGGTATGCTCATGAAAAGACCCGCAAAGAAGGGACAATAGGGCACCTGCCAGAATAATGAACCCTCAGAGCGAAATGCAGCTGCGGCTGAGAGTCATACAGGAACACTGATGATGGCCCTTCTTTAAAGTGGTCAGGGATGATCCTTGGCCACACCTATTATTCCCCTCACCCCCTTCTGGAATTTCCCGTGACACACAAAACTATACACGCTCACGCATAGAGACACAAAGCATGTTCAGATTCATACAAACGCCTCCACAAAGTGCCATCCCAACAGAAGAAGGCAGTTTTTGACACCCCCCCCCATAATTTGCCCATGTGACCGCAGTACTTCTCTTGAATCGAGACAGAAACGATGAAACTATGTGGACAGAAACAAAGACAACACTGTTTACTTACTGTTTCTGCATTTAAGTGCTGTGAGCACATGGAACGTTAGTCACCAGAATTCCTTTCCCTTTTACAGATTGTTTAAAAAATCTCTCATCGGTACCAAATTCCATTTGTGAACTAAATTTAGCTGGTCTTTGGGTTTTGCCGGGGTGGGGGGGGATACAGCAAGTCTGAAGTCATGCATGATTTTGTGAAGGGGTGCCGTGCGTGGACAGAGTTTTGGGGGTGCTGATTGTCAGGCCGCATTCTGTGTTTGACCCACATTTTCATGTTTTGTGCACTTGGTGAGTATGGTGTTATTTTTTCCAATATTCGAAAAGGTATGTAAATATGTTGGTTTTTTTTTTTTTTTTTTTGTCATGCTTCTCCGTGTGGCTACTATTGGCCACTGCTTACAATACCAAAATGCATCTCTGTGTTATACAACAGCCACAAACATCATTGTGGAGTCCCTGCAAAGCAATTACTGCTTAGCAGTGAGGCAAATTGGTTGAAAGATGCAACAAGTTGAGAGTTGACAAAAAACATGCGCCAATATGACCTTTGACCCAAGCTACTTAAAGCCACTTGTCTGGGATATCGTCAGACAGGCTCCTGCTACGACAAAAAGAAATAATCCATGAAGTTTTGAGGAAGATTGCTTGAAAAATATAACTGAGTCAAAAGATGCCATGCGACGTACTTATTTGACCTTATCCACATTGACCCTAAGCCTGTTTAATATTTTGCCTGTCACAGAGCAAGCCTTCTTGAAAGTGTAAATTACATCTTTTAGAACATTCAGAAGACAGTGGAATACAAATAACTTCCTCCAAAAATTATGTTTATAATTCTGGTTGGGCACCTTCTTTGAAGTCGCTTCCATTCAATGAATCATCTCCTTTGATACCTCTGTCTGCTAGCTAGCTCGTGGTCGGCACTGAGAGTCTTCTGTTGTTGAAATTTGCACAATAAAGGAAAATTGGGATTCTTGCTTTCCGAGTTCTGTTGCAACGGCGCTGATATTTGCACATATGTCAAAACACAGCATAGGCTATCATTAAAAGTATCAGTAGTGAGTCATGACTAATGAAGCGTGCCTTCTTGTGACGCATGATGGCGTAATCTTACATGCTGATTCTTTGACTCGCCGACTCGGCACAACTTTGATTTCATACATGTCGTGACTAAATGAATCTGTCCAAACCATACTAAGTTGGAATAAAAGGGTAAGCCGCAATTGCTTGGCCTGTTAATGATAACTTCTTATTCTTTCTTATTCACAGACAGCTCAAGTAACACCGGAGATCCATGAAAAAAAAAAAAGTGACAGTAAATCTCCAGCGTTGTTGACTCCATCTATCCAATGTAGCAATGCTTCACTTGCTGCCTGGAAGAGGCAATTCTCCGACGTTAGCCACCAGAGACAAATGAGAGCTTTGTGTACTCTGGAAGGAGTCAGGAGGTCAGTACGGTGGAAGGTGGGGTGAGGAGGTGAGGTTTAGGGGTTGACAGGGAGACATAGTTTTTGCGGGGTGGTGACAAGGTTTTAGTTGTTTTGCTAAATTGGGAAAGGAACAACCCTGACATTATGACACGCCAAACTCACAAAAATACACTTACACATCTCGCACTGTGCCACTGTGACCCTGCCACCTCCTTCACTGCGGCATTCATGAGAGAGAAAGTTAAACGGCGCTACAAATCTGATGAAAACATTTAGAGGCAGTGCTAATGGTTCAAAAACAACCCCCTCCCTCCCCCTCCCCCTGACTCCCACACCGCCCTTGTTGGCCACGCGTGACCAGTCAAGTGTTGCTTTTGTTGTCAACCTGAATGTCTTTCAGCCCGTAGTAATCATCCAGCATGCACATGCTTTCCCAAACGTATATGAACTGACAATGAAGTCCACGCGTAGCGTCGAAAACAAAACTCTATCTGTATCTGGCTGAAAACTCATTAGAGAGGTTTACATGTCGCATGAGGCGAAGTTTAACAGAAATGTTTTGGGGGTCTTTCCGCTGCCGTTTCCTTTCTTAACATAACAAAGGCAAAAAAAAAAAAGAAAGGAAAAGAAATGCGCGGATAAAAATGCAGCCATTAAGAATAATTGGATTAATGAAGTATTTTGCTCATTAGTGTTCGCAAATATGCTTTCATGTTGCAAAGCCATTTTACTCCCGCAGTAATCCGCCTGTGAGAGAGCTTGCAAAGACCCCAGTCCACGTTTCTTCAAAGGTCAAAATGTCACTTTGGGTTGTAGGGAGAAGTAAACAGGAGAGAAATAAGCCTCCTGTCTTAGGGGGCCCTGCACAATAAATCCTTCGAATAAGAGCACCTCGACATGATCTCTAAAAAGCTGAAACATGAGGTCATGCTTAAATCGTGAGTAATAGAACTCCTGTTGTGTTACTTCAAGTGAACTCATTTGTTATCCAAGTACTCATATGAGCTGTGAAAAAAAGGTCTATGGATCCATCTTTTATGTTCAAGGAAATGAAAGACAAACGTCTTGAAATGCATTGGCTTCATCTACATTTTTTTATTAATTCTTATTCTACGAGGGAATGACCAGGAGAGAAGCTGATCAGCCCTCTTTAGCGCATTTTTGCACATCGCACAGCTAAACGTAATCAATGTGATGCAGAGGAATGCTGAACCCCAGGCAATCAATAGTCATAAATTCATTAGTGAGTGCGTACCAAGTTGGATTGGAAGAATGAAAGCTATTGCAGTGATAAACCAGTTGACCCCGTCAACTTGGCAGCTGTCATGACCTCAACCTGTGGCGGAATTAGACGAGGGAGGGCAGAGGGACAATATTTGTTCAAGCTGATACCTTGGGGTTGAGGAGGTTGTGTGTGTGTGCGCAATACTAGTGTCATGTTTGTAATGCACGTGTGTGTGTGTGTGTGTGTGTGTGTGTGTGTGTGTGTGTGTGTGTGTGTGTGTGTGTGTGTGTGTGTGTGTGTGTGAATGACTTTGGGACAATGGATGTGTGTTTATGTCAATAATTTGGCATTGAAAGGATGTGAAATGATGAACCTCGAGGGCTCATTTGTGTGCATATAAATTGGCTGTTTGCATTTGGAGAATCACACACCTGTTGCAGGATTTTGGTTGAGCAAGTGCCATTCCGTCATGGACGGCAGCTTATTTCCTGACAGGTCAGCTGTGGAGGTCTGGCTGCTCCACACTAAGTGCATCGCATTTTTTTTTTTTTAATGTACACATTTTTTATTTCTAACAGACCACTTTTTTTTTGGGAGGGGGGTTCTCATTTGTTTTCTCCCTTTTGATTTTCCGTCGCTTCATCTGGTGAGTCATATATCCATCAAGGTACAGGTATTTAGTTCCACTTATCCCTCCCTTATGCGTTATTTGCCTTCCAGCCATGATAGATGTATTTTAAAGCATTTATCATTTGATTGGATCACAGGCTTGTTTGGATGGAGCCAAAACAGCGCACATAATCTTGCTGTTGTTAGGTGTTGCCACAGACAGATGACAACACAAGAAACCTGACATTTTTTTTTCTAACCCTACCTTGTGAAACAGAAACAATGCAAGCAAAAATCCATTGGCAGGAATTTGACCAAGGCACGGTGCTGGCCACTTCACTGACATACCGTATATTCGACTGAAATGACATTGCTCTGTGCACACTGCAGGCAAATTGGAATTGAGGAGGAATGTGAATCTGTGTGCTGGCTGATAATATACCTGACACTGAAACCCTTCATCATAGTTGTAATTACGGCTCTAGCTAATGGGAGGTAATCAGTTCTGACAGATGGCGGCAAGTCATGTGTTGCAACCAGTATAGGCTTGGGGTGAAGCGTGAAGCATGTGTTTTTCTTGTAGCTCCCAACACCTTCAGCCACACCTTTTAAGTTGGGTGATATGACCAAAACACCTTTCCAAGGGCTGACAGATTGAAGCTCCAGATGAACCCATTTTCGTGACGGCCAAAAAACAAAACAAAACAAAAAAAAAACAAGACACAGAAAATCCGTTTTACAGTTCCAAAATATTTTAAGAAAACATTTTTATTTTACATAAACTGTACAGACATCATTTATTTGGCTAGATAATTCTGAAACAGCAACTAAAATAGTGTTTTATTAAATAGAAAACCGAAACAAAAAAATAGAACTAAAGATGAAAAGTGTTGCGTATTGACAAAGAGAATCATTTATTGTACCCTGATACGAGTAGGCCTTTTGCGAATGATCAAAACAGTATCGTACACTCAGTGACCATGCCCTCTTGGTACAATAGCTAATATCATGGCCTCTTTGGTTCCATTAGTTATGTAAAATACCTCTGACACAAAATTCAGTTTCTTTACTTACTATAAAAATAACTTTTCAATGGCAGTTTTTGTTTCACTAATCCTGCAACTTTTCAGTGCAAACATCACAACAATCATTCGCCTTAGAAAGGATGCGAAAGATTACATTTCAAGTATTGATTAAGAGTCAAGGACTGAAAGCGGGAAAGGGTGAGAAAGCAAACACAAGACACAAAGAAATTTTCAGAGAAAGATCATTCAGTCTAAGAGGACATGTTGGAGTACGGGTACAGTTTACTATACATTGCATAGCTCATGTGGCACTTACTTAATATGATATGACAGGACACTCGGTACCCCTCGGAAGGCAATTCTTTATACAAGTGCTAATCAGGGTGTGCATTTCAATTTCTACAAGTGCTGCACTGCACTGTGGCGACCCACCAAAACTAGTGTCTCCGTATCCCAAAACATTAACGGGCAGAGGGAAGGAGTTCTGTCCCAGTGCACTAGTCAAGTGCACTTCTGAGATCTGTCTAGTCCGGGTCATCTCGTGGTTACAGGCCTTGCAAACCCTCTCGATAAGCAGGACGCTGAGGTTCAAGACCTGCAATTAACAGTGAAAATAATGACAGCAGCTCTGCGGAGGACTTTCTTTTACCGCTGCAGTGCAGAGGGAATAATCCTGTGAGGCATTAAGCGCTGCTGGTCTAATTCCACCAGAGGACAGTCAGACTGTGTCTGTCGGCATTCTAGTGAAGTGCTTGTGTTCCGAATCGTGTAAGCTGATGAACTGTCAGTGCTTAAAAAAAAAAAATTTAAAAAAAGTCTGCCATGTGCTTAAAGTACTTAGGGGCTTGGGGGAGAGGTTGGGGAGTCTGGGGACAACACCAATAATGTCATTGGCTGATCATGTTACTTTCCTTAAATGCTTCTTGTCTTCTTTCAGGTGGCGGCGCGAGGCCCATATACTTAATTTAAAACGGCAAAGTACAGCTAAAGTACCATTTGGTGATCTTCGTTCCCTTCTCCTCCCAATGCTGTCTAGTTCCAGGTCAGACAGCAAGCATATCACTCAGTCCGATAAATACATACACTCATATGAACATGTGCAACCAAACTTCCGCACATTTGGATACCGGATTTATACTACAGCGTGTCTCATCCGCACATACAGTAGCAATACATTTCTTGTACTGTATATGTCTACTGTACAAAGGGTCCGGTTGTAGAAAATAAAAAGGCCTTGCTGGATGTTCAAAGAGAATTGAGGGCCAAAGTGGACTCAAGCACAGCCGCACTCTTCCACAATCATGTTGGGCACATCTCTCTTGACGATGTTGTACTCATCGTCAAAGTAGAGCATAGACATAGTACTCAATTTGGTGGGGATGCAGCAGGAGTTGACCGAACCTGGGCTAATTCCTCTCAAGCGGTACTGGTTTACGACTGCTGTGTGGAAGGATGAAGCTGATCCCAGCACGCCAGGCATGTAAGCTGGGCAACTGCCCTCACAGTAGTTGCCGTAATAGCCCGCAGGGGCGATGATCCAGTCGTTCCAGCCGATAAGACGGAAGTCGATATAAAACTGCTGCCGGCAGCATAGACCCCCACTGGTGCCGTCACACTCCAGCCCCCGCTTGCGGATGCGGTGCTTTCCGTCCACTTGTCTTGCACGGACCACCAGGAATGGTCGGTGGGAGGGGTCACCCGGGTCCACCAGCACTGGGGCCACTCCCGCCGTCTCACATCCCTCACAGTGGACCTCCAGGTCCTGTCGACGGCTACCTTTGCCAAACACTGCCCGGACTGCCTCTAAGAGGGGGAAAGTATGCCAACCGCTGCGTTTTAGCTCAACGCGCTTCTCCACCAGGGCCCAGTGCCCTGTGACCCCTCCATCACCTCCTCCTTGCACTCCTTCGACATTGCTCACAGCTCCAGCTTCCTGGTAGTGGATCTTCACTGTCACCTTCCTTCGCAAGCCTTTCTCAGGACCGGCCGGCGACACCCGAAAGAAGAGCCACAAGTTTGCTTGGGATACATACAGGTTTTGGTTGCCTTCATTGGAGATGAGGAAATAAAGACTGGACTTTGATGACGTGTACTCATCTGCTGGGACACACAGCAAAGAAAAACATCGTCAGTACAAATACGGAAAACGTGGCACTTATTAAATCAATGAAGAAAAAAAAAGCCTTTTCATATGTTTGTAAGTAATGTAAAATATTGTGGTTAAAACTTTGCAAACTCCAATGTAAGCAGATCCCAATTTCTTCACACATTCCAGGCTAATATCGCAGCATCAGTGAAGCAACCTGCACATTGTTCTGATTTTTTTTTTTTTTTTTGCTACGAGCTCATTTATGCAGGATACAGTTTTCTTTTTTTTTTCCTTTTTTTTTTGCACGGGCCATTCATCATCATCATCTTCACTCAAATGTTGTGTCTGCACTGGTAAGCACATGGATTTAAAATAATGTATAAATAGGAATTATACTGTATATTTTACGCAAGCCTTGTATATATACACAGTATGTGTGTTTGTGTATAAGAAAATAAAAACAGAACAAACACATGTAAATATTTACTGGAAGCATAAATGTACAGCCAGTACATTTACATATGAGAATTTTACAGATTCTTCTCGGATCTAACCAGTCAACACAATGTAATCACTGGAAATCTTCATATTTCGAAATCTTGTTTTTATGTTTTGGTGTCTGGAATGTGTTGAAAGAGTATGGGATGGTAAACTCTAACTAGAGGGTGACAAACCCATTTTTCAATGGTCCATTATTTGTATATGTTCACTCTTCGCAGGGTGTTTTGGACCTTGCGAAAGGTGAGGCTGTGCTGTAACATGTTGTACTGAACAGGAAATTTGAACCCTATCAGAACCTCAACGTCTGGCTACTGATTTTTGTTGTTGTCGAAGAGCTTTCTTTTAGTTGGGTTTGTGAGTCATGGAAACAATGTTTGTACACCTGAAACTGATATATGAAATCCAAGTCCATTCTCTTTATACTATATTTTGATAAATGTATATTTTAAAAAGGGAATCAAATTTATTACATTATAATGGGAGCCTTTAAAAGATTACATTAAGAGCCATAGAATCTTCTTTCGTCCAGTACACTAGCTACAAAAAACAAAACAAAAACAAAAAAAACCCAGAGAGAATCTACTCAATACATTAACAATTTGCAGCCAATTGAATTAGGTAAATTTAAATCAGATGTTTTGGGTGAAACATACTTTAATTCAAAAGCTATGAAATGATTCCATAAATTAGGTAAAGTTTACCTCACATTTTATTACATTCCACAACTAAATTACTCATTGAAATTGAGTCAAATATACTCCAGATTTTTTGTACTATCAATTAATAATTATGAATCAAATAAATACATAAAAGTTGAGTGGGAAATGGGCTTTTACTTTTTAGCCCCTCTTGAACACTGTCATTCACCAACTGATGACACAGCAACACGAGAAACTGGAGTCCAGTATCTTGCTTTTAAGCCTGAAAACAAGACATGAAATGCTTCAAGTGTACAGGATAGAACCCACGACCGTCGGGTGGGGAGTCGAGGTGTAACCCATGCACATATTGCAGTATATAGGCAAATTTAACCATAAATGTCAAGTAAACTTTGCTCAATTTATGTTAGTTGGATCTTTTCACTTTAAGGTACTCTTTACCAAAACGATGTGATTTATATTTTCCCAATTAAAGTGGCTCTAGATTACCCTATACAGTTTTCTTAGATTCTATTGTTTTTTTTTTTGTTTTTTTTTTAGCGTAGATACATTTTATGTAAAATATATGTATATTAATATTTTATACAATGATAGTCATTATGCATGCTCTCTTTACGATACTTACTCTTTAATTAAATAAATACTTTCCTGCTAAAAATAATCTGGTAAATTTTGGATGGTTTTAATGGACCATATTGACCACTTTCTAAAATCATTGTTTACAGTGTGATTATGTGCACGTGTACTTGAAAGGGTCGAGTGAAGACATAGAAGAGAACTGACCACCCACGAGCACCCCCCCCCCCACACACACACAGGGTGTGGTGAGACTTGTTTTTGCTGTACATCTAACCCCTAAATCATGTGAGCGTTGTGGTGATTTATTAATGCGGACACACTGGGAAAAGAACAGCTCACAATTCAGAAGATAACATTTATAATTTCAATGACCGGGCTGGCAATTATGAAGATTTTATAGATTTTAAATATAGCCATTTACTTAGAATAATGGACGAAGTCATATTTTGACAAGAAAAAAATGCCAAACTCAGCAGGATGATGGCCACCTCTGCCAAAATAGGCTACATTCTTAGTTAAATAGATCACTCAATTCTACCCCCTGAAATTAAATTACTAATAAATAAATAATAAGTAAATAAGATATCTGTATTTGGTTACATTTTTCGTGATTTCTGAAAAATAATAATAATAATAATAATAATAATAGCATTTATTAAGTCTACCTAGATATAACCGCAATTATTATTTTAACCATAACCTCTTAGACCTAATTTAGCAACTCAAGGAGATTGACTAAAGCAGTGTACAGAGGGCAACTTTCAACCACCATGTCATTTGTTGTGAAACTGTGTTGGAAGGAAAATTAAAACATGCACTTGCGTATAAGTGCAACTTGTTAAAGTTTTTACTTGTACATGTGTAAAAACTGGTCACAAATGAGACCACTTTGGTCTCAGTCTGCAGCACTGAGCATCGTTCTTTTGGAATGTGGGAGGAAACCGCAGTACCCGGAGAAAACCCACTTAAGCCCGGGGAGAACATGCAAACTCCACACAGGGATGCCGGAGCTGGAATTGAACCTGGTACCTCAGCACTGTAAAGTCGACGAGCTAACCACTGGATCACCGGGTCGCCTACCGTCGATCATAACATTGGAATGCCCCAGAACCTGTGTTGGTATTTCACGCCTAGCTCTTTCCACACGTGCCGTGTTATTTATGGTAATAGGACTTTTGAGTTTTGTAATGTTACATATGGAGTCCCACAGGGATCAGTACTTGGTCCTCTATTGTTCAGCATTCACATACTTCCACTCGGTGAGATCCTACGTAAATATAACTTTCGTTTTCACTGTTATGCTGGTGATACCCAACTACATATGCCGTTACAAATAACTAACCCGTGCAGTTCCTGTAATCTTGAGGCGTGCCTAGCTGTAATTAAAAAATGGATGATTTTTAATTTTGTTATTCTTAACCCAGATAAAACCAAGATGATGATTATTGGCCCTGCTCGCCATCGGAGCCTATTCAAAGACACTATTCTCAGCCTCGAAAAATGTCATATCATGCAAAGTGATTCAATAAAAAATCTCGGTGTTATATTTGATTCAATGCTTTCTTTTCAAATGCAAAGTAAGAATATAACTACAACTGCGTTTTTTCACTGTCGCAACATTGGTGAGATGTCCCATTTTATATCCTGGTGACGCAGAAATCATAATTCATGAGTTTCTTACGTCTCGCCTCAATTATTGCAACATATTATTCACTGGTAAAAACTTGCAGTTAGTACAAAATGCTGCAGCTTGACTCCAGACGAGGATGAGGAAGTTCCATCACATTACCCTAATACTAGCCAACTGGCATTTTTGAGATGCAATATCAAGGTTTTGCTATTACTTATAAAATGGTACATGGCTTATCACCTTCCTATCTCATTGACTGAGTGACACCGTATATTCCTCCCCAAACTCTTCGTTCACAACATGCTGGTGTTTTATTCCGTGAGCCAAAAAGAAGTCCACAAGTTCTCGAGCATTTTCCATTCGGGCTCCAGTGCTCTGGAATGCCCCACACATGCAAATTAGAGCAGCTACCTTAGTTGAAATGTTTAAAACCCAACTTAAGTCTCATTTGTTTATTCCTGCATTTTGTTGAACTACATGTTGCCTGTTTGGACTGCCATTTCCTCTGTTCTTCCTTCCCCCGCCTCCCTGATCTGGAGAGGGGCAAGGTGATGATGACCTAATTGGATGTCGCTGTATGAATTCTGCTCCGATCGTTTTGACATGATTTGCACCGACTGAGCTGGACAAGAGCTGGGTCGACTACTCGGAGGTGCTGCGATGAAGATTTCTTCATTGACCAACTGAGCTGGGTTCAGAGGAGGGCCAACCTCTCCAAAGGCGTCTCCCTGCAGTGTTTTCATCTTGTTAATGGATTTTATAAAGTACAATCCTGTTTCACGTGCCCTGCGATTGGTTGGCAACCAGTTCAGGGTGTCCCCCACCTACTGCCCGAAGACAGCTGGGATAGGCTCCAGCACCCCCCATGATCCTTGTGAGGATAAAGCCGATTGGAAAACGAATCAATGAATGAATACTGTTTCAAATGTTGCCCACTCAGCATCCATTGCAACCTGGTCATCCTGGAAGTGGGATTCTTCCATCTGCGGCCCCTTCTCAAGGTTTCTCAGTTTTTCCTTGCCCTCCTGGGGCAAGGAAAAGGCCAGGGGATGTCGTGAATACTTGTCCACTGTGGGCATGTGAAGCCCTTTGAGACTGTTTGTGATTAAGGGCTGTATAAATAAATGTGACTTGACTTGATTTAAATGATGTCTCTTTGAAGAGTCATAGATTACCTACAGATTTTTTTCTTTGTGTACGATTTTCAGTCGGTGAAAGTTGTTTTAAATTCAGCCTCTCCTTTTGAGTTTTTAAATTCGCCTTGGGGATAAGGTTTTAATTTATTGAGATAGATCATAATGGTGATAATAATGTCAGGATGTGAACCAATCCGTTTGATTGCCGTATGAGCATCAACTGTACTTTCGGTAACATCCTACATTGTAGATAGAAAAGTTGCAAGAAATAGGGGGGAGCATTCCAGGACCACAAACATATCCTGGCTCTTAATAACTGGCTAGTCCCTGGAAGTGTGCTCTTGGATCTTTGTCCAGCAACAGAGAGGTCCACCAGACGCTCAGGCAGTATCCATGTGTCAAGCCAGGGTGTGCCCCTGCCCCCACCAGCGGTAGGGACACGCAGTCAATGCGTTTTTCTTTTCTTAGGCATCTACTTTCAAGGCAGAGCAATTTCCTTGTGC